TGCTCATTAATAATTTCAACGGATGAAAAATTAAAAAAAAAAAGGAGGAACGAAAGCGCTGGTAACAAAAATAATAGTTATTTAATTTCTTAACAGTTTGAAACAATTGTCGGAATGAGGAAGTGGTTTTTCTTAAGATGAATAAAAACTTCGCTTTATTCGTGAATATTTTGGAAAGCCTTTTAAAGAGAATAAAAAGATTGAAAAGTTATTTGTTAATGGAAATTTCAACCCTCGGGGAATAAGAACAATCAATGAATGATTAAACAAATAAACGTTTTGAATTAATAAACTGTTTGTTTAGTAAAGTATCAGTAAACAAAGCTAAAAATTACAAAAGAGAAGAAAATGAAGTAGAGGATAGCATTGAAAAGTAATAAATACATCATCAAATATATCGTGTTGTCATCGTCATCATTATTATTATTATTATTATTATCAACGTTACATGAACATTATCAAATGAATAAAGTTTTAGATGTAGTAATTGTGAAATTGCGGATAGTAAAAGGGATTTAATTCATATAGCAAAAGTTTTGGGACAGAAGTTTTGGGAAATGTTGGAATGTGTTTTGGAGGATCTATAAAGGCGGGGTAAAAACGGAATAAAAGGAAGGCGTTTAGAAGAGGAGGAAGAGGAGGAAGAGGAGAAGGAAGAGGAGGAGGAGGAGGACGAAATACAGGCGCAGGAATGCCATCATCATGCAATGATACATATGTCGTCCACCTTCGACCTTATCCTCTTCTTTTCAGTTTCTCATCACTTCATACATCGTCCTTACAATGGCCAATTGAAACGAAAGGGGTGATATGGCGATGCAGCAAAAATCTTCTGAATTGGGCCGTGACCAATGACCACCGCATCAGACACAGAGCCAGTCAAACCTTTTGATACATATGTAGTAGTAGTACATTGCTTCGTCTCGTTCTCCTCGACATTCCCGGATAAGGCGAAATACCACCTTCCTTTCCCCTCCCACTTGGGCAACGTTTCCTCTCTCCCATACAGCAATTCCAATCTCTTCCTTATTCAGCCTCCCTCCATTTTCTTTCGTCCCCCTATCTTATTACCAATACTACTCCTCAATGAGACTTTAGTTTAAATTTCATTCTCTAAACCTCGTCATCATTCTTCTTCTCTTGTCGTTTATAATCGTTTGTAACCATACCATATAACCTAACCTTCCTTATTATCATCATCGAGTTTGTTGTCACCTCATCACCTCTCACCCGCGCCATTTCCTTTTTCCTTCTCAGTCCTTTTCGATTCCTGTCCTGTCTCTATTCTCCTTAAATCTTACTCCTTCAGTGTTCTCTATCTTTCCTCATATCCATATTGGCACTAAATTCTCCTTTAACCTGCACTGTTACACGATAAGGCTATTTATCAAATGAAAACTTCGAGGTGACACATCTTGACGTCTTCTGTCTTTCCATCACTATTTCGACTGCTTGCTGATATTTCCGGTTATTCCTTTCCTGAATGGTTAGAGATATCTATTGGAGGGAATATGTACCATTCTTGTAAATCTCGAATCGATATCAAAAAAATATTCCAGGAATTGCTGATAATTGCGCAGTATATGGGATATGTTCCAAAATACTCCTACCACAAGATATATATATATATATCGATACTGTTTGTGATCATCAGTAAGTGTTGTAGGATAGAAGAAGGAGATACTGAAAGAGTGGAATACAAGTAACTTTGTGGAATTAAATTCGAAAGATTCAACAAGCAATAATTTCACATAATTAAACATTTCAAAAAATGTTTAATTTAAGATCATGCAATTATCAAATGTATACGTTGCATCGATATACTGACAAGCATTCAATGGATAAATCATTAAACTTTGCATCCATTCATTTATTTAACAATGTATCTTATCATTTCGTATAATTACACATCACATAGTATCGTTTCAATTGTTCTACCCATCTCAAATAGATTGTAAATGCTAACCGATTGATGCTTCTTTATGTTTTATCCGGTAATTAAAATTATTCTGTTAATTTCAGGTTATTTAATTTTCGCTCATTATCACCAAAAAAGCAGTAACACATCCGCTGATTTGATTAAAGTGTATAAGAAGAATTCATTTAACCTTGTAATAACATTAAACACTTACACCACAACTTCTATCAGATTTGTAATTTTCTAATGGGTGAGAATTTTTGTTACCCATAAAATTTCTTATATAATTATTGTCGGTATTATCGCTATCATCATCGTCATTTGTTGCTCGCATTGTCGTCGTTGTTATCACTATCATCACCTATTATTATTTATCATATCACTACAATCATTGCTTTCATTACCATTGCCATTATTATTATCATTACTTTTACCTTAAAATTTCTCAAACCCTATTATATAATTCCTCCAATTATCACCATAAATATACTTGTTAGCATTGTTGTGACGATAGTAGCAGATAGTATGGAATGCTTAAAATGAAACCTTGGAATCTTCAATGAAGCGATAAAATTGACCTGATGAAAATGCTCAACTGAATACTGGATACGGTTCACTAACCATATCATAACATCTCGTGCACTGACGCAATCATATCGTCTAAATAATGGAATGATGACGATCAACGTTAAGAATTCATGTTTTTTTTTTCAGTAAAGTAATTTAAAGCTTTATGCTGTTGCTATCACTATTTGGAGAAGCGTTGTTCTAAATGATTGGGATATTAGCTGAAAGTATTGATTGTGCTACAACAAATATCTCATTTTGTTAAGTTGAAAAAGGATTGAATTCCTAACATTTTAATTGGAATAATTTTAAAATGGAATTATTTTCTTCTTATTAATAGCGTCTAGTAGTGGTAGACAGAAGTGAAAGCTGGAATCAATCATTTAAAAGCGCGTAAAATGGAAAAAGGTTGATGAGATAGGAAATCTGTCCTTTAAAAGGTAATTTTCGTTTTACTTATTTTTGCTTAATTTCAAAAGTTACAATGCACTTAACTTATTAGAGAAAGCTAATTCACTTTAAGCATGTCCTATTTTATATATATACCTAGCATAAATATCCTGTGTTGGAAGTATGCATATCTTTCCGTTGGGATGCACAAATTTCATGGCATAGCCATCGTATAGCGTCTATGGTGGTGGCCGAATAATTTTATATTTGAAAATAGCGTCACTTATCCAATTTGGGTGTGACGCTTGTTTTTTTTCTGCATTGTTTACTTTGGTGTTAAAAGAAAAAGGAACGTGTTCCACAGAAGGTGTTCTATCATTTACATGCAATATTTTAGTATTGAATAATGTTGTGAAGGCAGAAGGGATGGAAAAGAAACATAAGCAACCTTGCGATGATGATACGACCGAGTCAATGAATGCAAGCAGTAGCTCTAGTGTATGCACTGTTTTGGAGTTATATTTGAAAATTCCACACGTTGGAGTAAAAATATATGAATGTTAAATTTTAAATGAAAAACGTTCGTAAATTTTTGCAAAGACTGTTTTGATGTAAAAATCAAATTTAGAAACAGATATTATGAAAAATTGAAATGGAATGTATGCAATTTCAAATGAAGGAATGAGTTGGTTTTTTTTTTCAGCTTAGATCGTCTTTTCATTCTGAACGTTCAGCCGAAGTCAAACCGAAACGTGTTAGGTTCGAGTCTGATGTCCTAAAGACAGACCTGGAAACGAAGTATCTATGCTTGTTTCCGGACCAATTCTTCATCTTCTGGAAGCATATCGAGATGTTAGCGGGGAAAGATGGCGATCCATGTGGCAAGTTTTTGTATCCAGAAACACCTGTGGAATCTTTTTTGTATGTTATGGAAACTTTCGGCAAATTAACTGATAATATCCTTTATAGATATTTAAATTCATACTGCAACCTAAGGATATCATTTTTTTGATCTTCGGAAGGAAAATATGTAAATATACTCAAAATTATTATTCGAAATCACTTATTATATTCTTGGCGTACCTTCTTCTTTCCAATACTCCTAAATGTTCTTATGCAATATTTTAAATGGTGTTTACATTCAAAAGAAGGCTTGCGAGTAATAATTTTCGTAGACAGTATTAACTTAATTTTTTTAGATGAAGTTTGAAATGAAATTCACTTCTACTGTCACCAGAGAAAATGGATGTGGTGTTGAACTAAATTTTCTTTTCCAAAATTTTTTGAGATTTCTCCTGGGTATTATGTTTAAGCGATGCAAAGGGAAAAGGATAGCTATGTTATATTTTAGATTAGCAGTATCATCACAACCAAAGCAGTATTTGTTCCCTTGTTCTAATCAAATTATGCAGTGATTAATGACGTAATTAAGCTGTACACTCAAGCTATTTCTTTGAAATCTCCCTTCATTTAGGCTCCTAGTGGCTCATACCACCAATTCCAATATTCAGTCGTGTTTTCATATGTACTCTCAGTAGGTTTCCAGCCGAATTCTGTGGGTGATATTTGAAAAGTAGTCTGAAATATAAGTGCGTTCTATCAAAAATGTAAATGTCAGCTATTTATAAATATTAGTTAATATATAAAAGTCATATGTTTATCAGTGTTTCAACTTAACCAGTGGTAAAGTGATCTTTTGTTTTATTCAAATTTTGTTTTATTTTTTTTCTGTCATTTGTTGGGTCGAGATTAATCAGAAAATGCGATTGAATTATGCGATATTAAAAAGTTGTATATGTATTTCATCTTGTTGAATATTTCAGGTGTTTATGGAAATTTAAAGTCTTTTCGACTTTGCGGAGTATTCGATTACCTTGGTGGACATTTCAAAGATGAGAATACGGATAAATATTTGTTACACGACAGATTCGCTACCGACTTACCTGAAATGCAAACGCTGGCGGTTTACGATGATGGTCGATTCGTCTATTGGAGGTGTATTATTAATTTTCTATGTTGCTTATCAGTGCAGAATTTTACTCATAAGTCATTATTATTGTTTAAAATTGATTCCATTAATTTATTAAGTAATCGTAAATTGGATTCGAAAAAATTACTGGGTTGTGTTTTTCCGATGGCTCCCTTCAAACCTATGCTTTGACGAATTTGATCATACTGTGATGGCTGAATTTAATCATGCTGTATTGAGATACTTATTAACAATAAATGGATAAGTGGTGTGACTGCTCAGCATATTCCTTCCGGGTAGACCCCTTTCTTTCTAGCATAGATTATGCTTTGGATCATGTAGGATGTGTTTATCTCACCTGTCGTCATTTACATGGGTTGCAAAATTTCCTTTCAAATAAGGCAATTTTGATTTTTAGAGATGAACCTAATACTGAAAAACCGCTTATTGTTCATGTGGACAACGCTGAACATTTTCCAAAATGCGTTATCGTTGGTGCTACTGATCCTTTCTACATGGTTGCACATCTGGTTGGGAAAACTTTGCCAGTTAAATACAGAAGCCTTTTTTCCAAAGATTGGATTGGTGAGTCGGTGTTGCAGTTTTTAGAAAAAGTACAAGCAGCTTTTTTTGAGAAATGAACTTTGCCTTCAGAACACTATAGAACGTTCATTGCCGATGTGAGAACGATTGTTAAATCACGCAAGAAGGAAACCGTTGGTCTACCATTTCATGGTATCGGAATATACGTTAAGCTTGTTAACAATGTTGGATATAGACCATTAAATGAAAAGACAGGTTTCTTATTCAATCATTATGAGGTTACATCACGAGGACAGTAGTTGTGACATAAAAGTTCATCTTTTTTTTAGAACTTAAATTTTTTTATTTAGTTTGTTTTGATCTTGTTTCAGGAAAACTAAAAGAATTGATAACTTCGGTAGCTACCACAAGCGATGAAGCTATAAAGCAGAAAAAACTGGAGAAAATAATGGAAATCGTTAGCGCTGTTCAGGTCGTATTCCAGGAATGATAGAGATTTACGTTGAGTTCGCGAATTTTTCTTCCATATCACAAATTTCTATTTAAAAAATTGAAAAATTAAGTCCTGATGAAAATCATCGCTTTTTTTAGTTTTTAGTTTGCAAATGACGAGAAGGATTTTGGAATGGGTTTAGAATTTGGACACGATATTTTTTGGTCTAATCATGATTTCTTCGACAAGATGGCAGTAAAACTCTTGGCAACGGCTTACATGTTGCTAAATCGTGGAGCATTTGCTCACATCCTAAAGGTACATATGCCATTTCGTCGACGCATTTAATTAATTCGTAAAAAAGAGAATTACTTGCAAACCTTTTTTTCTTGTTTCATATCTCAATTGAAGGATTCGTTTGGTCTCATAAGAAATGCTTGTGCATAATGATATACCTGCCAGCAGTTTATCTCAGTTGTAGTTCGAGTTCTATTTATGTTGCTTGTTCCACCATGTCATGAAATATAATATTTTTTTCAGTGATAATTCAATATATAGCTCTGGAATCTATTGCTTACCTCATATTATTAGTCAACTGTAGTAATTCTGGATTGTGAAATGTTACAATTAGTTTTTGCATCTTTTTATGCACTTTTTAAGGAAAATGATATGTCTTTGAATGTTTTTTTGGAACCGTTTATTGTAGTCAATAACAAGATCTTTGTTCTTAGAGTAACTTGAAATTTTTAAATGTTATACACATATTTCATTTTTGTACAAAATATATTCAATCGTCCCCTATTTAAAAATATGTCTGTAAAGAGCTGTTGTTTCGTTTCTGGTAGGCGAAGTTTTGCAGCTCGGATGAAAGGTAAGAACACTTAAGGAATAATTTTGATTTTTTTACGTTTGTTTGTGCCTATTTGGTTTTTTCGAACATTATTTCTGTCAGGTAAAAATTCCTGTCGTTTGTTGTTGTTCTTCTCTGCTCTATATTTTGAAATATACCCATTCTGAGTATCGCTTTATCCTATTTTTTCACTTTGGCACAATTTTGAACACTCACGTCTATGGATCTCCAATTTTATTCTACTTGTGTAACAAATCATTGATGTACTGAGCCAAACATTTTGTCAGATTGATTGAAAATAAGAATAAATTTTTATTATTAACTTAGCTTGCTGTTAGACAGTCGGAGTACGGAAAGCCATTTAGTGTAAAATAGCAGAAAAATCACGAGTGCTAGATTTGAAAGATAAAAAAAGATGATCGCCTTCACCAAGGAATCATGAGTATTCGATGACCAAGATCCGAGGGATCAGAAATGTGAGAATTCTGGATTTACACCCTGAAATTTGGTGTAAATCGGTGTAGTGGTTGTGTTACACAGGTGATTTGTTTTGTAATGCGGAAGTGATATGACAGAATGCAATGGAAAGAGTGAGAGAACGACTTGTACAGAATGGTAATTTTCATTTCAATAAGTGGTAAATAAATCGGGTCAAGGAGTAGCCCACTTCGGTGACAGATTAATTACCTACGGAAAGCAATCGTTCTAACACTTCTGTAGATTTTACGTAAACAAACAGACATAGATTTTTTATCAGTAACCACTGGTCAGATGTAATGAAAGAGGTGAGACAGATAATCTTTTATTTATATTTATAAAAAAAGTTGATTTGACTAGTGTAGCTCCAATGCCAAACCATAAATGCCAAAATGGTTGTGGTGCTAGTAATGCTTCTTCATTCACATATTTGTTGATAGCTGTATAATTCAAAACCAAACGAAACAAACGGTGTTAACATTCCAGAGGCTTATGTGAAGGCTATCCTATCTTATGGTTTCTTATGGTTTTTCGTAATCTTCGATTACGAAAGTAATGAAAACCATAAGTAATATGACATTTAAATATGAAAGAAAACTAGAAATATCCAGAGATCGACAATTCTCTCCTATAAATTGCTCTTTCCATTCTTTGGACCAAATGGTTTATGGACGATGAAGAATTTAACCTTAAACTAACAGCTTTACCATAAGAGACAGTAAGGAATTCGAGGTATCATATCACAAGGAAAGTCCAATTTATGAGTTCCCAAGTTACCGCGAGATAATGTGTTGAGAGAATAATGCAGCGTATATGGGTTTCTCCCAAATGATGAAACGGATGGATGGAACTGGAATATGGGCGATGCAAGAATTGATTATGTTACCTAATAGCTGAAATGATAACAGTGGTGTCAATAGAAATTGCAATGAGAACAAAATTTTCTTTTTTTTGAAGTGTCTATAAAAGTAGTTGGCAAGGATTGATTTGGGCGTTAATGAATGCTCGAGGGGAGAGAGGACGGGGAGTGAGAAGGAAACTGAGGGGGAGGGGAAAGAAGGTAGAAGGTATCATCAGCAGAAGACCTTGAAAGGGTGGCCAACCTGTGTTTGCTTTCCCGGTGTAAAGGATTGTCCCCCAATTGCTCACATGTGGTTGTCGCTGTTTCTGTTCGTGTATAACGTTTGCAACGGTGTAGGCGCAGTTGTCGTTGGACAATGTTGTAGAAAACGTGGCGTGACGGAGACATGTACGCGGATGCTGTGTAATCCCCAGAATCCACCCAATGATTTTGATGTTTACAATATTTTTGAACGAAAATTGAATTGTCAACCGTATATGAATGCAATCTCGGAATGCTTGGCTGATGGTCGTGACCATACTCATTGCTGTATGAGTGAAGCGAAAGATCGTGATGAAAATGCTTGTTTTGGTATGTGTCGTGGTGAAGGTATCGATGGTATTGCAGAGTGGGATAAGTACCAGACCTGTTTAGCCATCAATTTGCATCCCATGTTTCGTTGCTTCGAGCGTGGCTATTTGAATATTCCCACATCACCTCTATCGTTACATATCGTTTCTAAGAGCACGGATGGTGTCGTTCTCTCCTGGTCACCACCAGCAGTTAATTCAAATCTTGCTGAATCGTATCAAGTTATCTGTAAAGAAGCTGATAGTGGTTTCATCGAAAAAACCATCAATACTCGAAGTTACAAGGTTACACTCACAAGTTTACGCGCTGAAAGCAAATATTCAGTACACGTCATTGCAGTGACTCGTGATGGACGCTACCGATCATTACCTTCCGAGACAGTCCACTTTTGCACGGCTGGAGTAGCACTTAGGGTTGTCGCATATCGTGAAACTGTTTTCATTCCCGGGGATGCATCGTCGGTAACAATTGCTTGCCGAATGGAAATGCCCGGTACCACTCATATAAGTGCTCAGTTTGAATGGAAGAAAATGCATGATATAAACGGTCATTATGAGGAGATCGGAGGAGACAAGTACAGCTTCACGAATTATATTTCGTCCCATGAGCATCCACGGCATTATGTTTCTGCTCTCCAAATCAGATTCCTGAAACAATCGGATCTCGGCATCTATCGCTGCATTGCAACCAACGATTTCGGTAGTTCCAGTGCTGATATTCGAGTTGCACACCGTGTGCTAACCTCAGTAATGCCGGTACCACCGGAATCACCATACATGTGTTGTCAGCGTTTAGGAATTCGATCACCGTGTATTGCGGTATGTGGTTCTGAATTTGGTAAACATGCCGCTCTACGGGCCGAATCATTCATCAACAGCCACTGTGAGGATGAAATAAGCAAATTTCTTACTTGTACGACAGCAGGTGTTGATGAAGGTGCCTGTTGTTTACGAAACAAAGTCCCTGGTATCTGTTTACCACTTTGCGATGGCTTTCAAATGAATAAATTGAATGCTATCCCACATGTATGCGCTGCATTTACGTTTTCCATATTTCAATGTCGAATAGAAAATGCGAATAATCGACCAGCTACAGTATCTGGCTTAAAGGCTGTTCAAAATCCGGATGGTGATTTATTATTACGCTGGGACTTAACGCCACGTGCAGATATATATCATGTTTATTGGAAGCGTAAATTTTCAACAAACTGGGAACTGAGTTCTGTTGTAACAACCAGTAAACGTATTTTTGATAATGCTGCAAATGATATAGCTGAAATTGTCGTGGTAGCATCAAACAGTTTCGGTAATGCTCATCCAGTGCGGTTAATTCATAGTGATGATGATAAGTGGACCGCTTCATACAATTTCCAGTTCTGATCTCAACATCAAAAATTATCATTCAATTCCAAAAATTTGTTGTCATATTGATAAGTTGGAAAGTTATCAACCGAAATTCAATATAATTCTATATTTTTTAAATTTCAAACTATTTCCATTTATTTTTGCTACCTTCTTCCGTTTGTTTCTTTCTTCTCCTCTCTCTCTCTCTCTCTGTTTCTCTCATTTTCTCCTTTTTTCTTAGCACTTAATACTATCGTAACTGATCTCGCATCTTTATGTACTGATGTTAGCTTAACGCATTATATGACAATAAGCCGACCTTAGCTATAAGCATTTTTCGCTACAATTTGTTCCCTTCTCTCTCTTCGCATTTCTTAAATGTGAACCATGTGAACCTCACTTAAATAGTTTTCATCATTTAACCTTCATCTGTAAAAACTATTGGCTAAAGCAAAAATGATAAACTTGGAGCATAATTGTTACTTAATACAGATATAATTCATTAATTTAAAAAAAGTAATGAGAACAGTGATAAAGGAATTCTTTGCTTTCCATTTATCAAATCCAGAAAATCAATCCTGAGAATATCCAACTATTTAATTGAATCTTCTCTCCCATCTTTACCATTCTTCTGCATTATCCAATTATCAGTAATTACACATTGTTTACCGATAGTGAGAGTCTTCTTTATGAGACATTAAATTAGCAATCATCTTCAAATAGTTGTATTTTACATTAATTGTTGATTAGATTATAATTTTGTTCATTAAAATATGATTAATTATACATCGCTTAATTCTATTCTATGTTTTACATTTCGAATACTTCATAATCTATTACATATTCTTACATCATAATAATATAGTTAACGAGAAAATTCACGGAATAAAATGATACAAATTTCGTTTCTCTTAATTTTTAACCGTTATTTTATGATGTATTATTGCTATAAGCATTTGCTGGTATGTACAGTGGTTCTAAACTAAATATATATTTCAATAGAAGTAATGGTTGTAATTTGTGCTAATCGAAATACGAAATAAATTATCTAATACATATTGTAACTATTGCAAACCGATAATGAAATACCACTGAAAATTATTCAATTTAATGCATTTTTGTAAATTAATTGATGTTTGAAATTTTAATTATTTAATGCGAAATTAAAAAATGGTTAACTAATATGCATAGAGCAATAATTGCTTCCCTCATCCTCCATTACATCCATTTTTACTTTTGTAAGTGATACATCGAAATCGTGAACTTAAATTATTATATTCATAAAAAAATCCCATTTAAGTTGTTGAAAATTTTGGAAAATTTTTTTCCAAAAATACAATCCCACCTCAAATATTCATAGTATACAATAAAATATAGTTTATTGATTATTTCCAATATGATATTCTTTATTTTTGTAAAAGTTAGCTTTCAGATAAATTTTTCAGTTATATTAAATATACCTAAAATTTCTATTATTTTCCTCTCGTCGGTATTTTTTTTTAATATATTAGTGAATGTATTTCACGATGGGGAACATAATTCATTCAACTTTTTATTCATCATAATTCATAATATTCAAAGGTGAAGAAAAAACTAAATTTTATTCGATTTCATCAAGTTTTATTTATTATGTCTTGAAAGAATTACTTGCACGTCGATTAAGAGATAATTTTTTTAATTATGATAATTTACTGAAATGGCATCGATCCTATATTAGAATTAATTGAATCTAATTAAATAATGATTACACATGAATCTGAAGAAAAGATTGGATAAACGAAGAATAGTGGGTACAATTGCTATTTACTGAAGAATATTAAATGGATAGAGAGATAAAAGTTGGTGAGTACGTTAGTAACAGTGAAAATCACAGCTGGTAATTTATTTATACGTCAGTTTCCCTTGATTGTGTTAATTGCATATTGTTGATCGTTGTTTACATGGGCTAAGCCAATTGATTAGTTGATTAGGTTTTCGTAAAATGGATCTTTATAGATTATAATGGGCAATTAGTTTCTTTTTATTATATCACTTGATATTTTTATTTATAAAATTTAAAATTAATTTAATTGTAAACAAATGGTCAATCTGTTAATTAGTTTGGTAGAATTTAAGCAAAAATTATTCGAGCGAATACATACAATATGTTGTTTTATCTACCAAGAAAAAAAGGAAATTATTGGATTGATAAATGGATTATTTACAAAGTGATAGGGATTTTCGTGAATTATACGAAAACAACGATGGGTGACGTGGGATCTCTCTCTTCCACGTAGTTTCCCATTTGAATTGAAGTAAAAGTGAATTTAAAATAAGACAAGTTAAAGTTTGTCGATAAAAGGGCTTCACTGGGAGGCACTGAATTACTGAATCTGAAGTATTTTAAGGTAACGTACGTGAAAAATGGTAGTAGCCATGGGCTTATCCATCTGTTCTTTTTTCGTTCTGTTGAGTTTTAGTATATAATTACTTATTTGGAGACACAACAAGACACATCAATTTTATTATCAATACATAATTAAATGGTTTACATTTTAAGTCGGCTTGATTATTTTTTATGAGATTGATGTTGGAATTGATGATATAATAGACATACAATTGATGAATAATCTTTCTTAATATAAATGGTTTCAAAGTAATCATAAGCTATATTTTTATGAAGCATTGAATAATACGTGCAAAATCCTAGGACTATTAAGATAAGAGATTAAGAAAATGCGCATGCGATAATTGGTGATAATTGATAAGAGTTACTTGAAGTGTGATGCAGTTTAGAGCGAAATAGAAATAGACATGATTTCAAACTGAAAAATGTTATGCTATTTCATACTGTTGAAGTTTAAGGAGTAATACTTTTGGATTCCAAAATTTGAATGCTAATCAGAATAGTGCAAATCATGTATCATGCGATTCTTAAATTTTACTCAAATCTATGAATATTAAATATAATTTGCAGGCAGCAGGCAGCAATGGTAAGTATATTTTTTGAACGAAAAGAATCAGTTGTTTAAGTCAGAACTTCTGAAGATGTTTGAGTTAACGAGGGATTGTATATCCTCATTATTTCAATTGTATCGTTCCGTGGAATTATCCTCACCACCCCAAGTTTACAAGATAAAAGATTTTCTTTTAGTTTTGTTGTTATGCTTGATATATGAATTTTAGAATGATGAACGGGCCTTTAAAATATTTTCTATTTTATTTGCAGCTTGATCAAGCTTGTTATTTATTCTCTCCAAAAAATTTTGTTGGAATATATTAAATCATTTTTAAACAGTGATGACGAAGATAACTTTCAATCATGATGGGCAGGCCCATGGAAAACTATTAGTGGGCTCGTAGAGAAACGATGACGACGAAGCAGAAGACTATGATTGATATATGAATTCTAAATATATGAAGGAACCATTTCCTCGAAAATAAAGAGAATAAAGATCTGGCCATTTTCATTCACAAATTTGACTGGCTCAGGATTTCTGATAAGGATGACGAAAAAGAAGAGAGATACCCGCACATCAAATGGATAAATGAGATAGGGCTAATGGCATTAGTAGCCGATTCAGAAGTTAAAGTGGAGCAGCCGGTATTACGATCGTAATTTCGGTTGTGAAGAAATCATATCAGCTAAGACAGAGATTCTTTATGCGTTTGAGAGTATGTTTCTTTGTTTGTACGGAAAAAGTGTTTTAATTTAGTATAATATTTTTTTTTAAACCTGTATAAATTTCATTTGTTGCAGGCGATCGGAAGTCATTATGATGCTGATGGCGGCAGCATCAGTAACAGAACCGATAAAATTCGAGAATCTCCAATTTGGCAAAAAATTGAAAATCGCCTGGATGAATTTAAAAATCGATAGCGAGAATCCATCTCTGTTGATATGTATTATTTCATTTCATTTAACAAATGAGAATTTTTCATTATAATTTCCTACAAATATCTGTAAATATGAGGTGAATGAATGGATTCAAGTATATCTGTTTGATAGATTTAGAACTAATTAAATTCCAAAAATATGAAAAGAATGTTCATTTATTATCCGTACTTTGCTTTAATATTTCAACATGTTACAGTTTACACATGCATATCATTTCGACGTTTATTTTCAGGCTTCTGTCAGCGGTGATATGGTTATATGATATGATCACTTAATTTTTCGCAAATTCTATTTCATTTAATTCATTTTCTTTCTTTTGATATTTCGAAATTGCTTTCATGTTTTAAGTTTTAAATGATTAAACTGTAAACGTTGCAGTATGCATTCGTTTGCACTGTAGCGAATTAATGGTTATCAGAGAAGTTTAAATTTCTTACTTTTAAACTGTTTCATTTTTTCAGCCAATAATTTTTTCATGCTATCATTATGAACCATTATGAGGTAAGTACGATATCAAATACCCGTAATCCGATATCAAATATTTTTAATATTACGTTAATTTCGATTTTGATATAATGAATTCTTCCGATTAGGAATTCTGGGATGGATCCAAATATGAAAAATGCGGTATAATTTAGTTAGACTGCACTCTATATTCTCCAGTAAAATGAAGTCCAAAAATGACTGATTGAAATCTTCGATATTAAGAAGCATATTAAAAAGTGTACTATTCTCGGAAAAGAATTATCCTGGAAAGAATGGAATATGTGTTTGATTTCCATTTATCTCTGAATCATGACGGTATCCTGTCCTAAATAATGAGGTAGGAGTGGAACTTAGTTTTTTTGTTGTTTTTGGCAATAACAATATTGACAGCTAATTTCTGTGGTTTACAATATCAGCATTTCGATTAAAGGTAATGGTCTATTACTTAAGTATATCATGCATTAAAAAGGATAATCACAAAAGTTGTTTAATCCTACACTTTGCCTTCCTATTGCTCGATTTTGTTGATTCTTTTACACTTCACAATACACTACCATTTAGTAGCAGCACTTGCTTATTTCAATTGTCTTATCGGTTCATCCAGTGTTAATTAATATGCAGTAAATATGACTTCAAAACTGTTTGATCATACGATTCAATTAATCGAAAGTAATTTTAAGATAAAAAGTAAGTTTTTGGGTTAATTTTAAATTTATTTCTTTGTCAAAAAGTTTATTTATTTTTTCAAATATATCATCAGTGATTTCATATCAAGAATATCACCATTATTTTTTATCAGTAATATCCACTAATTTGTTAATAGCCAATTTTCCAAGTATTATTTATTTGTCATGATTAATAATAGATAAATGGTATCAACATTCTACTCTAATAAATTAATATCGAATTTTCAGTTTGGATTCTAATTGCCACTATAAGAGTTATAACATTTCGTTATGCGTTATATTATTAGATCATAAGGATCGAGATTTCCGATGCACTCAAATTAATCATTTATGAAATTTAGATTTGAGTTCAAAGAAATGCTTTTCAAATTTTCGCTGAAGCTTTAAATGAAAAGTTCATAAAAGACATCCATCAAATATCAAAAAAATTTCTTTGCATTATTTTAATTACTCTTCGTGAAAATTTATGTTTGTTAAAAATTGAATGTTAACTTTGTTGAGTTATAAGTTTATTTGTTTCATCCAATTCTGTTGAATAATTTTCACTTTTTTTAATTAACTAAGACAAAGCGTAATAATGCAGACAACGGTTGTCGTATTATTGACCATAAATTGAATTTTCGTTTATCAATTTTCTTTTTTGATGGCAGCTAAACATTCATCATCAATCTAATTTTATTATTTTTGAAAAGGCTCTGAATATGCTTTTAATCATTATTTCGTTAGTATATAAAACTGACCAATATAGTATCAGAATTACAGGTATATGTTAGTTTCAAAATGAAAGATCATAAAATGATTTTTAAGTCAATAATGGAATGAGATTTTTATGAATAATTTTCAATAAAAAATTTTCAAATATTAGACAAATAAAACTTTAGCAACTTTATGATATTATTCTCTGTCTTTGCAATTTAAAAATTACTTTGTTAAATCAGATATCAGAAAAATTCCAGCCAAAATAACTGAATTATGTGCATTTGTTTATCGGTGATGAACCAAAGTAAAATGAATTGATAATAGTACAATATAGTAGTTATAGTGTTAATGTATCGGGAAGGATAAAGTGTTGATGATGGTAGGTTTGGCAAGGTGAATAGATAATTGTAATGATATAATGAGAGGTGAATGTGATAACGATCATGGCTGTAGTAGTTGCTTTTAATTAATGTTACCTTGGTGCTGTACGAAACATTCAACGATGAAAGTTGGGAAATGCAATCATAATTGTGATGTTTTAAAACTGATTCTATAGCGAAAATGTCATCGTAAACTGAAATTACTCGTAAATTTCCACAAAAATATTGCTTTAAAATAATTCAATATGTTTTTTGCAATTACGAAAAAAGATTTAAATTGAGGATGAAATTTGTGAAAGTTGTTCGCGAATAAAGTTTAATCTAATTTCAAACATTTAAATCAAAAACTAAATTATTTGGTCAGGAAGTAAGAGAAGATAAAAACGATGATAAGAATTATAGTATACTGTAATGGAGACAAAAAAAGAAAACAATTTCAACTTCTTTCTTCATGCACTCATTAAGTTACACTGTAGTACGCCTCTCTCCCTCTCCCTCCCAAGATTTTCTCGCATATTTAACTTATGAGGGATGTATTCATTCTGTATTATTAACGTCATCAATCGACGATAATGTTTTCTTTGATAAAGTAGAAGTTGCAGCTGCCATTTTGCATGCAAAAACACTGGGCGAAGAATTGCTTGTCACTGTAACTCCTAGCACATCATGCAAAAATGTTACGACAGGTGAACATTTTCTATCCAATCAAACACAAATGATTTAAAATTAGGTCTCTTCTTTCTAATTGATAGAAAACCTACGGGGGGGGGGGGTGAGTTTGATCGCAAAAAAAATGTTACCCCCAGGCAATAAATCTGCTTTTATTCGCTTACATGAAACAATCGGGTATACAAAACGCTACATTTCGACTAAAATTATACTTGCAATTTTTTTTTTCGACTTATATCAAATGTGCCTATTCCCTTTGTGAAACTTACCATTTAATTTATTTGCATTAAAAGATATGAATCTGAAAGTTTTGGCATCTGCTTGAAGGAAAATAAACAACTAGTTCAAACATGGTATATGATGAAAGAAAAGATTTATGACAGAGTATTGCCACCCAAAAATGGTATACCAAATGACAACGGTCAAAAATTGCATGAAAAACAGCATTTCTTAGATAATACTTACGTAAATTGACGTGACACACGGATGATCCTTTCTTACTAAAGGAAAGAAATAAAGCTGCCGTTAACAGTGAAATTGACTACGAAATTACATTACAGCGATTAAATTCTGTGTTTTTTTTCATCTGTGATAATTGTTTAAGAGTTTGAAATGTTTGAAAGAATTTCGTGCATTTCGCTATTTCAGGCTTTATTTTCTGAAATTACTAATTTATTTTTTATCACATATCAATGTAAAACAATTGAAGATCGCATAAAATTTACTACTAAAATTGTCAAATACATTTTAAAAAGTTCCAAAAAAACCTATTAATAGTATTTGCCATTTTAAATTTTTCTTTTTTGCAACACATCAAAATTTTTCTTTGTTTTTTTTTTTTAATTCCTGAAATAGATTTTCATTTTTAGGAAAATTATTTTCCTATCAAAATTATCTTATTGTTTATATAAAATTGTTTTCATACTTTTTCTTCATTGTGAAAGGTATATTTCTTGCCATTTCTGAGTAGGTAAAAAAGGTATGAGAGAAGAAGTAGAAGAAATAGGAAAAGAATTTACGAGTATTAGTGATGTGCGAATATTCTACGGCATAAATAATACTTTCAAAAAAATCATTGTTGGCAACTATTGAAGCATGATATTATATCAAAAAAAAAGGAGAGAAAAATTATTTATTATTTAATCGTTTAATCTTTCAATTTCTTTAATTTACCTTTTCCTATCTTATTTTCTTCTTTTTTTGTCGGCTCTAAATTGCTTTTTTTAATATATTTCATTAGTTGTCAACTATGTTAAAATTTCCACTTTGTCGTAATAATTATTTTAAGTTAATTTAATTTTATATTATAAAAATTAGCATTTAAATTATTGATGAAAAGAAAAATAGAAAGCGATACAAAGATCACAAATATACATTTAAATAAAGTTGGAGAAAACGAAGTGATAATTGTCTGTCTTTGCAACAGCTAACGAAAACTATAAAAAGCTTCACTCATATTTGGACAACCTTTTCAACATTTTCCTTCATTCCTTTTTTTCGTTAGAAAATTTTGAAGTAATGTACTTTTTAAAATGAATGATTATACGAAGTAAGAATTGTACACCGAAATTTCACTTTTTCCATTTTGGGGTCTCTTTTTTTTTTTTTTACTTATCAGTGTCTGATATTTTTCGACGCTAATCATTTTAAAGAATACTTTAAAAAATTTTTTAAATTATTCTTTTAGATTAATAAACAAAAATTTTATCCAAAACTATTTATTTTCTTTATAGCATTTAATCATTCTTCATATTTTTCCACACTTTCAATTTGCATTTTTCAACATCGTAGTATGTAAAATAATGATATTGTACGTATCAGTTAATAAATTTTTGGAATACTTTGTAATTTGGTGCTAAAAATTTGGTTTAATTTGAAATGTTAACTCAAACTTTGGCTTAATGAATCATCGATTTACAGTTATTGCTTAATTGAAATTGACATATGACATCGAAGTATTCGAACATTTAATTTGCTTATGTAATGGTTTCATTGAACATTGCAAATTAACAAATAGATTTTGACTAACAAATTTATTTGTTTATAAAAAAAAAGGAAGCTGTATGCAATATAATTAATTTACAGATTCACTAAAAATAAATTTTAAAAAAAAGAATTCAAAGATTAAAATATTTTTCAGATTCAACGAATAATCTATGAATTTGTTTATAGAAATGTTATAGCTTCTGATAAGTAACAATGAATTAGTTTACAGCTCTTTGAATAATCAAAATTTTTGTTGAAATGGATGAATCACGACCCATACAATTACAAAAAAGAGAAATTGGTAGGTTAATTAAAATAAAGACAAAAAATGATGAATTTTTTTTTCCTTCGATTACGCAATTTTCATTAGTAATTAAAAAAATTATATATGCTTGATAAAATTAATATTTTTTGGAAAACTTTTATAGTGTATTTGAATTAGTTGAAAATTTTATTGATTTTTAAGAATTTGACAAAATGATGCTTTGTAGGTTTGCTTTGTCATAAACCTGAAAATGACCTTGAAAAATGAAATTAATTTCTTTTTTCTGTAAGTGTTAATCTATATTTCTAGAATATTATGAAATTTTTTATAGTTGAAGTTTCGAAAAAATGGAAAAAAGTACAAACGATGATACAGGATATCATCCAATATGGTATTGACAATGAAATTATTGCGAAACGTGACGATACAGTTGTATTTATAAATGAATTTATTTAATATTTTAATTTCAAATTATATAAATGCTTAATATATTGTAGTATTTATTTTATTGAATTTTTAAAATAAAATTATCAGCATAAATAACGAAAATATGTTAAATTTCTCATTTGGAAAATCTGTTTAAATCTTATAAATTAACAAATTTCTGATCGATAGGATAAAGCATTCATTCATTCATCGATCGATTTTCAAAATTCAATCAATTTGAGAAATAAACAAACCAATATTTGAAAACAAATTTTACACAAGAGTTATTTTTATGACCTATTATATTCATCATATCGCAATTATCTTAATCACTCATTTCATGAACTAAAAAATTCCCATTTTCCGTATCATTTCATCCCTTATGATTCTTATCGGAAAGCACTCTCCAATTCAAATAGAGTTGATAAAGTGAGGTAAGAGTTTAAATAGAGTTTAAAATCGCCATCTTACCACCTTTTATCTCCCTTTTTTTCCTCTTATGATTATAAATCATTTGTGATAGAAATTTAAAGGGTTATTTAAATTAAAATTGAGAATGTATGGTAAACAAAAATCTTTAAATATGGTAAACAAAAAATGAAATATGTGGGAGGAAAAAAAATGAAAGAATACATATTCCTCAAAAGTTAGCAAAATAAGTATTCTAAATCTAATAGTTTTATTTTAAAGAAAAACAATACAGGAAATCTACAATCCTCTTGCGATATTAATCTCTAATACATTTTCATTTTGTATAATCTTCTGCTTCTTCCTTATTATCATCAACAAATCATGTTTGTTATCATTGTAGGAAGGTGGACAAGGATTCCGTCTTGCAAGTTCAAAAAAAACAGCTGAAGCTGATGTTGATCAAAATGATAAACGTCATGGTGATATACGAGTTAATCTTCCAACTAATGATATCACTCCAATGCATTCTGCGATACCATTCCTTCCATTATGGGCTGCTATATTTTGTGCTATAATTAATGTTATTATCCCTGGCTCAGGTATATGAACTATAACATTCGTTTCAATAATTTTTTATACCTAATTCATCTTCAAATAATATCTTACAGCTAGTAGGAACAGAAACTTTATGCAGGTAAAACAACAAAACACATATAAATGGGAAATTTAGCAGTAATTATAGACTGAACTTTTGGAAAATTTAGCAATAGCAATTGATACTAGTCCAAACCTTTCCCAAGAATATCCTATTGGTTGGCAATACCCAATTTTTTGAATTTGAAAAATTGGGAAAATTTGAAATAATTATTGGCTGAACTTTAAGTATACTAGTAAGGATCAAAAAGACTACATAACATTCATCATACCTTACGGGATTTATACTTTTGGAAGATTGGATATTGTCATCAATAGGATATTCTTGGGAAAGGTCCGGACTGATATCAATTACTTTCTAAATTCAAATCATCATCGTATTCTTATCTGGGAATACATCATTATGGATTTCGACAATTCGAAAACATGATAAGGCACTCAGTTTTAAATTTTTTGCAATTAGTCCATAAGATAAGGATTTATTCCCGGCTTTATAATAAATTTACAACAGCAACAATAACCTAAATATTATTCAGGAACAATAATAAGTGGATTTTTTGCCCTATGTCTTGGACAAACGCGTGTGAACTACCGTACAGGTCAAAAGCTGATGACCGTATTAATTAACTCATTAGTAGGTATTAGTCAGTTCTTTACCATTACATTCTTGTTTGTCGGATGGTTTTGGTCAATAGCTTGGAGCGGTTTGCTCATAATCTACTCCGGTAAGTTGGCTTTCTTCAATTTTTTCTAATTTTTAATTTCAAAATTTGAAGTAGAATACACGCAATAAATGCGTATATACGATGATATAATTACATTAGCAGTTAAAACAATCTCCTAATCTCAAGCAGTAGTTCTTTCAAATCATATTAATTTCAATTTAAATGTCAAATTATTGATCCTTCAATAACGAAGAGATCACTGCAGTACAGTATCGCGATGCATTACGTCGACGTCGCCAAGAAATGATCGCAACAGCAGCATTAGAAGCACTAACTCGAAATTCAATTTTACATCGTCGTGATGTGAAAACACTAGTTAAAAAACATAAAGAAAAGAGTGGAACGAAAAAATATGAAGAACAAACTGCATAGACTATTATCATTGATATTCCTGATATGATATTTCAATTCAAACTTATTTAGCTCAGACTTCTTGCTTTATGAAAATCCCAACAATTGTAGAGTTATTTCAAGCTGAAGTAAATTTCCCATTCTCTTTACTGTTGAAGTTAAAAAAGATGGAATAATTCATTTAAATAATAAAATATGTATATAGAAGTAACGACATAAATAATGAGCAAATGATCCTGTTATGAATTTTTCTGATAGTCCCGGAATTATCAAATCTTTTTTGAAAATTTCAACTATAATTTTATAGATCCCTCACTGTGTATTTGTGTTTTATATGTATATATGAATATATGTGTGTGTGTTCAGTATATCACCAAATTGTATAATGAATTGAATTTCCCCACGTCTTCGTATTTTTAACTCTTGCCATTGATATTTCGATGTTTACAAGAAATTTTATATCCCATCGATGATACCTATCAACCGTTTGCTCCATAATTTTGGAATTATACAATACAAGATACTAGAATGTAAAATAGAAACAAAACTTTGACCATGATAATTCCTTCCATTAACACAAGTTATTTCACTTGAATTAAAACTTTGATCATGATCTCTTCATTAATACAACTTATTTCATTTGAATTAAATACCTAGAGTATATTATAAATAGAAGAGGAGAAAATTCTTTAGCGTCATTGATTAATTAACATTATTGAATATTTTTGACTATGATAATCATTTATGATTTGTAACAAAAAAAAATGATAAATTTACCATCAAAAAATGTGAACCTGAAAAAGTCAATACGATCCCACAGAGAATCAATCATCCCACCTATCTTACCCGATTCTTAAGAATTTCAAAAAATAATATATATTCTCGAATATTAGAACATAAGTATTGTCAACAACTTATCATCACTTAAAAGTTTCAGCAAAATAACGCGGAACAATTTCCTAATATTTTAAAATTAGTGCAATTTATTATTTCTAAAATTGAATCCTCTGACTTGAAAAAATTATGAATTTTACAAACTATTACTTCTAACATTCAAATATTATTTTCAGCGATTTATTCAAAGAGTACAATCAATAAGTTGAAAATTTATTTCCGTGCTATATACCATAATCAATGATCACAATCAGACAAATCCGATCAAAGAGAACGAGAACGATTTTGCATTAAGCAACTGCTGTAAACACTTCAGAAAGCAAAATTCAATGTTGCATGAAATTCGACCGTAATGCCTCATGGACAGAACTACTGTGAGAATACATATATAATACAATATCATGTGTTATCACCGCACTACAAAATTCACGGATCATTCACACAAGCCTAACAAATTTCTTCACTTCCATAATGAATTTGTGGAAAGTTGACCAATATGAAAGTATCGGTTATTTTTCATATATTAAACAATATATGTGCATTTGAATTTATTCAATAATTCCCACAATCAGTACCAACGATGCTGAGAATGCGGTGTTTTCGGATCAGGAAAAAAAGCATTAAGCCATTTACAACAATAATCGATTGAGAATTAACAATTGATAACCTTTCCATAAATCAGAAAGTAAGAAATTTGTCCACATAGCTCCCATTTTTCCTTTTTGAAATTGAATCTATGGAACAGTACCCATTTTCGTATTCTTGAAATTTGAATTGATATATGTAGCGAGAACATCTCATAAGCGTTTGTCAACACATGAAATGCTACAGCCGAAATACGGCAAAACATGCTTGAACACCGTGACACTGTCCCGAAGAATCCACAAGTTATGACCGGCATGTAATAATACCGCCTCCTAGATACATTGTGAGAGCGATCGAGAAATCACGAGTATCTCAGATATCTTGCAGGAAAAACTGTTGAGCCATGACAACCTTGGGCCCATAAAACTTACTGCTAGCAATACTCTCAGCTCAGCTCACATGACCATAATAAGGTCGACTTCGCTAATTGCAAACTTGGTTAACATTGATAATAGTGATGATTCGAAAATGGTACAAAGGAAAAGAAAGAATGACCACAGGTCGAATGTCGATTCGAATTTCTCCGCCTAATTAACACAGACATCCGATTCGACGATTCGTTCTTTGGTCACTCTATCCAGCACATCAGCTTTGTGCTAACATGGGTATATAGTAGGAGTAGTAGCAGTAGTAGTAATTCCTTCATTCAGACAATGTCATTCTGAAAATCTCTGCTAAAGTAGAAATAACAAAGGGACATAACAACATGATGTTTATAATATATTTATGTTTACTACGCAAGGTGTTTACTATACAACTTATATATTCTTTACCAGAATAGAGCAACAAAATAAAGAAAATATTGAGGTGATTCAAAAACAGAACACCATAGAAAATGATACAACTACATCCAAAAGGATATCATTGTTTTAAACTTAAATAGAGCATCATGTAATACCATGATATTCTAGAATATCAAAGCTAGTAGTATAATCCCATGTGATTGTGATAAGAGATATTACGATTCCAAATAAATATTATATGAAGAAATTAAGCTAGAAATAATTCGTTAGTCGACATCGAGCAGAAAAAGAGAGCATGCTTTTGTTATCATTTTAGAATACTTAACGTATGATAACCGATCTCCTGTGATTACCATACCTATCTTACTCCATATTTCTCGTGCTTATTTCATATTTCTTATTCATTTTACTTTCCACTTCTTCTGTCCCTAACAAAAAAAATGGAAAAATTTGGATAATTGAGGACCATACATATTTGTCTCACAAGACTAATTAACCGTAATCAGTAAGTAGCCTGAATTAATAAACAACCAGATAACGATACTATATAATACTACGACAGGATTAGCAAATTACTAACCAACACTCTTAATATTTTAAATGAACTATTTTGCAGTTGTATTATTATTGGTTTGTAATAATAATAATACTACGAGTGGTGGTAGTAAGTTGTAATCATAATCATAATCTCAATCGTAATCGCAATGAAAATCACGAATACCATTGTATCGTAATCTATCGATATCAATATTAGCAGGGGAATCTATGAATCACAAATAACGACAGCACTCAACCGAACCACAACCGACGCACATTTGCGCAGCCAGTCAATTCTTATTGCTCGGATCTTTTTTTAATGAATAAAAAAAGGAAGGCATAGACGGGAAAGGGATGGGACAAAAATTTAAGGGGTTATAGGATAACTACCGGGAATGAGGCACTGGGAGAGGGAAAAGAAGAGAAGATGGAAGTTGATGACAGGATTGAGTCGGCTGGAAGGAAAGAAAAACTGAAAGACTATAAAAAAAGATAAAAAAAAAGAGGGAAATGGGGCGATTGTTGTGAGGAATTGATAATAGGCAGAGAAGACTACCGCCACCCTCTCTTTCTTTCATTTCCTCCGATCATTCACCATTACCTGCACTACTTTATCATGTTACAATTCTCCCCATGCATCCATCCATATCTTCGGTTAGATTGGGTTAGGTTACAGTTTAGGTGTGGATTAAAATTCCGTTAAACAGTATTCTCAATGGTTTAAGGCTTGTTGCCTATACCGCAATGTCAATCTGAATATTGACCCGGTGGATGCTCCTTGTATCGGCGATTCGATACCATTCAGCGCCACAACAAACCATTATCATTCTCCCATTTCTATCTTTCCATCTCCCACCATTTTGCCTTTGCTCATTGGCGGGAGAAACGGTCTTTGTTTCGCTTCTTTTCCAATTTTTTTTTCCGTTCCTTTTCTTTGTTCAACATTGAAGTGAAGAAGGAGAAAGAAGAGAGGGAAACATGGTGGAAGATTGACTGGAAGAGAGAAGGAGAGAGAGAGAGAGAGAGGCAGTAGTAGTAAGTAGTAATATTAACAGTAATAGTAAAGGAGATGATCAGGACGAATGGACGAATGGTAAAGGGACTAGGAAAGGGTGGAAAGGTCGCACTCAACCGGATCTACGTTAGCGACCTTCACAATTACCATTAGAATCATACACCCTCCTGCGACCTCTTTCCTCCTTTTTTTTCCCTCTTCTATCCTCTCATTTTCTCTCACATAATAGTAATTTCTAATGCCTTATAAGAAACAGCTGGAATTATTGAGCAGCGTATTGTTTGTTGTATATTGGTTTGGATATCATTTAATGGAATGGTTTAATTGAATACTGTAGAATGGAATCAGTGGAAAGGACCCATTCGGTTAATAGAAGAAAGAATAACAAACATATGTATCTTAAGAAATGAAGGATAAGTTAAATGTTATCGGATATTATTACGGAATACTACTTTATATATATATATATACATACCTATTGTATTAAAACAATTGAACATTTAACAAATGGCAAATTTCTTTGTCAAACATAAATACGACGGTTACATGGTTGTATAATTTGATGAATTTAAAAAAAAAACCTGGAAGTTGGAGACCATTTTCTTCTAATGTCGGCATTTCACCTTTTAAAGGATGAAAAGGACGAAGTGACACGGTTTGATCATCCGCTACATACATGCACCGACACACAAACACATTTGGTACCCTCAAGACATTGAAATTTCTAATAATGGAAAAGATAGGACAACACTTCGTAATCCTTTGTGTCATATAACGATCCAGCTGGTGATGAGTCAACAATTTGCATAAAATAGTTTGAAAAAAATAGAAGGGAAAAAATCGGTGAAGGAATAGAAGGCATATGGTTGATTCTCAATAGAACATATCATGTGATACAGATCACTTTTTCCTCCTCTTATTCAAAAACAAAGAAATGAAGTAAATTTTTCGAAATTGCATCTGAGCGGGATAACTTCTAACATACTCTTTGCACTATTACGCATTTTCAAAACAATACCACCGATTAAATTGTCATCGTTAATCGGAGTTAAATGTGATCAATGAAACCGGATTTTCAGGTTAAAAGGAATTTTGAAAAAAAAGAAAAGACAAGAAATGAGTGCCAGTGTCATGAATCCTATGATCGGTTTCATTTCCGTCCGGAAAAAAAAAAGATACGACAATTT